CACTACACTGTGGTACAGGGTATTATGTCTTTTTGCATATGTTTGTAACAGGCAAAATGAATCGAGATAGACCCATGGTTCCTTTTGAGAATATGCACAGAATCACCTTCTAAGTCGTTTTATGCACGTCCGTCTGTCCGTCCGTCCGTCTGCCCATGCTAAATTGTAAACAAAGTACAGGTCGCATTTATTATTCGAATTGGATGAAATTTGGCACAGCTCATTCATTTAGCCCAGGGACCAACCCTATTAAAATTGGGAAAAACGGTTCAGATGTACATATAGCTCCCATATATATTTTCGTCCTATTTGAGGTAAATGGTGCACCAAAGTCCCTATACATCTTTCGATTTGCATGAAATTTGGCATAACGTACTGAATTGAGCCTAGAGTGATGTCTGTCAAGTATCGAGAAAATCGGTCCAGATTAAGATATAGCTCCCATATATATTTTCGTCCGATTTGAGGTAAATGATCCACCAAAGCCCCTATATATCTTTTGATTTGCACGAACTTTGGCAAAAGGTACTGAATAGAGCCTAGAGTGATGACTGTCAAGTTTCGAGAAAATCGATCCAGATTTAGACATAGCTCACATATATATTTTCGTCCGATTTCATGTAAATGGTGCACCAAAGTCCCTATATATCATCGATTTGCACAAAATTTGTGCAAGTTGCGTTTTTTAGAAGTACAGACATAGCCCAACGGATGACGTATTCATATTTGTTTGAAGTCGATTGATCTAAGTCGATTTACATTTAGATAAATATAACATGTTTTATTTCATCCAATTTCATGTTAATAGTCCTGTTTAATATACCCATAGTGGTGAAGGGTATCATATAGTCGGCCCCGTCCGACTTTACTGCTTTCCTTACTGTTTTTTTTTTTAATTCGTGCAATAAGTCTACGAATATTTTACATAAATTGCAGTGAAACTAGTGCAATTGTTATTTGAGACACAAAATCGAATTTATGGTCTTGGGGGCGGAAATTTTTATATGAGAATGAGCATTTGACGAATACATTAAGAACACAGAAGGACAAATACGCGATAGTGCAAGTTGCTGATACATTTTTAATGCTAACTCTAAACTTCACTATGAAAAACCTTTATTTGATTGTTTGGGGCTATTGCAGGTTACTGCAGCGATGGCATATCTTCAGTCTACTTGAATGAGGTATATTATTATAAAACATATCCACGTTTATCTCCTGTCCTTGTGGGTCTTTTTTTGTCCAAAATGGTTGTAATTGGGTTCTCATTGTTTAGTAAATGGTACTTTCAAAAGGGAACAATAAGTCCTGATTTATATTAGGCGAGTTTACTTGCGGCAATTTTTATCGTTCTCTTTTGAACATGCTTCATTCGTCTATGCAAGGCAATTCGATTTCAAAAATTATTTTGTTTTGACAATGTTCTGGATTGGTATTTTAAATTACTGACACTGCAAACAAAATTCACAAAACGAATTGCCAGAAAATCGCCGGTACGAGTATTTTTTCTCAATTTCTATTCCCCTTACCCCTCTCTCCATCAAACAAAGACTTGCCGCAATTAAACTCGCCTAATCAAAATTGGGACTAAGAATTGCCGCAAGTAGACTTGCCTAATCTAAATCAGGACTAAGAATTATCATGTTTATGTTTTGTTGATATATATATATATATATATATTCAATGAATGCAAAAATCTGAATATTTTAATTTTAATCGAGATATAAAGCAATATGAAATGCATAATAGCATGAAATATATAAAATTACTAGCGGGCCCGGCGAACTTCGTTTCGCCCAAAAAATTCATAAATAAAAACTCCGCAAAGATAATAAAATAATTAAAGGTTAAATTTCAATTTAAAACATTTTAACGTAATCCAAATCAATAGAGAGCGATATTATAAACGATGTTTTTGGATTTGTTTTCCGGCGCAAAAATAAATAACGACGATGGTTTGCCAACACGTGAACAGGCAACGTACAGCTGACCATGCGAAAAACAGGGAAATTCGAGATTTATCCCACAGACTTCTAACGATTGCCCTTGAGATTTATTAATTGACATCGCAAAAGCCAGTCGAACAGGAAACTGAATTCGCTTGAATTTAAATGGAAGGTCTGTTGGAATAATCGGTATTCGTGGGATAAGGACGTTCTCTCCTTTGAATTTACCCTTTATGATTATCGCTTGAATTACATTATTCATCAGTTTTTTGACGGACAATCGCGTACCGTTGCACAATTTGGGATGATTCAGATTCCGCAACATTATTACAATCGATCCCACTTTCAGCTGTAAATTGTGGGGTGGAGTTCCAGGCACATCAAGAGAGTTCAAAAATTCGGTTGGATAGTTTGTTGCTTCATCCTCGTCTGCCACGCTATCAACGGATTTGTAGGAGTGCAATTCTCCGGGGATTTGGTTTTGAATAATGATATTCAAGCTATCGACGTCCTTATTCTTCGCTGCTAGTATTGCCCGTTCACTAATCCACTGTAAACTTGTATAATTTTGTTCAAGGCCTGGAAACACTTTGGTGATGAGTTCCTCCTTAGACGATGTGAACTCACAAAAATTTGCTGGGAAAGATATTAATCCAGTCGAAATGTCTACAGGAATTTGGCCATTGCCAAGTCCTAGCAGTTGTCTTGAGAATTCAGCAGCCGACGGGTCGTTCTGCAACGCAACTCTCATGTTCGTTGTCAATTTCAGTTTCTTAACATGCCGCCACAAAACCGACGATTTCAGGCATGCATTTAGTTCATCGGCAGCAGTAGATTTCGGGATGACGGGAAGCGTTTGACGAAAATCGCCGGAGAGCAATATCATAGCCCCACAAATAGTCTCGAGTTACCTCGTAAATCCTTCATCGTTCGATCAACTGCCTCCAAAGCTCGTTTATGCGCCATTGTGCATTCATCCCAAATGATGATTTTGCATTCCCGCATTAATTTCGCTGTCGCCGAATTCTTGGACACGGTGCATGTTGGCTCGTCAACCGTAAGCAGATTCAGCGGCAGCTTCAAAGCTGAATGTGCAGTCCGACCCCCTTCCAACAATGTGGCAGCAATGCCAGACGATGCAACAGCTAACGCAATTTGTGATCTTGATCGAACTTTTTCCAGTATCAATGAAATGACAAATGTTTTACCTGTTCCACCGGGAGCATCGAGAAAATAAATGCCTCCAGTTCCTTCGTCAATAACCTTTATCAGCGAATCGTATACGTTTTTCTGTTCGACATTCAATAGCGGAACATTTCTTTGGATTCTTTCGGCCATTTCATCTCGATCATAGTTGTTCTCTCGTTGCAGTTCGCGATTGAATGCATCGTGCATCGAACGATTTGGCGCTGGCATTCCCAAAGTTGATAATAGGCTGCCGCACATATTTACACACATGTCTTCGATAATAACTAAGCACTCGTTGCGCATATCTTCGTTAATTTCCAGTTTAAAATTCTAAGTCGTTGTGCGAAGTCTATACAGAATATCGTCACACAGCAAGAGTTGAGTCCCAATGTATATCGTTTTCGAGTAAATTCAAACGTTGGCAAGCTTCCCGAAAAGTGGCGCACATCACACCATCCACAGTACGTAAGGAGTTGAAGGATGTCGGGCCTCTAATGTTCACTAATAGTAAGCGAAGATAAAAACACTCGTCTTGGCGTGGATGAACTGTGTATATTCTTCCAAGAGCATCAGTAGAATAGACGTCAGCAAAGCCAGGAACTGCATTACCTCTCTTCCGTCGTTGAAACTTCTTTGATGCAACGTTCCATGTATAATATCGTGGCATTTCCGAGTAGAGTAAAGTTCGTGCGAACGGATCGCACTCACATGTCGAAAAGAAGTTTGTCAATGTTGTCACTGGTGGTCGTTCTGCTCTTTCCGCTGCATTTGTGTCTGTAAAGTAGACTCGCTGACCGTTCTCCAAATGAATTGCTAAATGAAGAACAGTCGGATGACGTTCATGAATGGGAAAAGAAAACAATCGCCAAATTGCCTCGTTACAACTCACGTAACGTCCAAGCTGAAATTTCGTCACTTCGTCATTTGAATTCGGATCGGCAATGCCAAACACCGCCATGTCACTGCCTTTGTTCACATATTTGCATACGTATTTTATGGATTTGATGGAGTTACAGTATTCAACATTGCAGTGGGTTGAGAAAGTTTTGGACAAAAGAGGAGAATATGGAACGATCCAGCGATTATCTACAACGACATCGTTTCCCTTCACTGCACTTTCCGTTTTCCATGCACGGTGAATCAGGGTTGTGAACTCCGCAGGGACCATGAATCATGTTCGTTGTCACAACGGCATATAGCTCCGGATCAGTTTCAGGATCTGGTATTTCGGCAGAAATTATCGAATCAATTTGATCTGGTCTGATTTTTTCAGAGAACCAAAGTAAAATATGTGCATGTGGTAAACCACGCTTCTGCCATTCAACCGAGTACATCCAACATCGAATTTCTCCAAAAACCTTCTGCTTAACAATGTAATCCATGAGTACTCTGATCTTTTGTTTGAATACTCGTGCAGTAATGTCATGTCGATCGCTGGGAGTTTGTCCTGCTTGCAAAAGATTTGAAATTTCATTCCATTTCGGATTGCAAGTGTACGTGATAAATAAATCCGGGCGCCCGTAGTTTCGTACGTATGTCATCGCATCTTGAGCATACTCATGCATGTGACGTGGGCTTCCAACATAAGTAGCTGGGAGAATGGTTAAACAACCGATGTTGGACGCATTTCCTTCTGTAGCAATTGCGTCACGCAAGTGTATATACTGTTCTGATCGTAGCTTGGACTGATTGAAACGTATGAAATTTAGGCGCTCTGTTTCGACTTTAACGTACATATCGACGCAATACTGTTGAAACAAACGACGATATCTTAATAAATGATTGTCGAAATCTTGCCGAATCATCAATCTATATGCATAAAAATTCATTGAGCTGACCTTCTTATTCGTTTCTTCTCCTGAAATATGAAATCGAATTCAGTTGTAAAATGAAATAGATTAGGTGATATTTTTTCACACCTGTCGTTGGATCAACCATTTTGATGTTCAAGTGATATCCGTCTTCTCCACGGCAGAACATCAATGGGTATTGAAGTGCATCATATGAGCGATGAGTCTCGTACACGCGCTGCAATTGTCCACCATCCCGACGCTTGAGAACAATATCGCGTGATTCCACATTCTCGCCAACAATCACCACTGCGACTTCATTGATAGTGGGAGCATTATACTGTCTTGCATGGCCTCCAGCGGGTCTTTTGTCTGCTCTAATAATGATTTTGTGGTCGTCAGTATGCATTGTATCCAATGCAGTTTTGAACAACCTGACCAAGTCATTATGCTCATGCAGACAGTTTTGCAATTGCTGGATTATTTCACGCTTAGTCGCAGTGAAAATTGCACAACGTTGATCTAATTCAATTGAAGACTCACCAACGAAATATATTTGAAGAAACCTATGATCTTGGTTTGGTGGCGGTAACAAAGCACCCGCTCTATGGTGAATTTGCCCTTGTATCTGAATGTTTTAGATTGCGAACAAAATTAAGTAAAAGATAATGTTGGAAATAAAGAGGCGTAATTACCTTATAACTTGGATTGTAGCCGGGTTGATCGACAACTTCGGCTCCAAATGACGTCATTTGAAAACATCCATTATATTTTTGTGTATTAGACAGGAAGTGTTTTGCCTGCATTGTATTGCCATAGAGCAAGGAATACAATGGCTCAGGAGGATGAGCCAATGGAGGCAATATCACCTTGCCGCCAGCGCAGCATAAGCCGGGGGTTTCGCATTGGAATTTCAATGCATTACAATGCAGGCATATCACCGACAATGAACCGATATCAACGCAGCGAAGGTCTTTGTAGATAATTGTTGAATCGTATTCAAATGCTGCGCGACGCAGGTCCATTCTTCTATAAACATTTGGTCGGATTTCATCTAGTGATTGTTCAGCACGAACCCTTGCAATATGAAAACGTCTCCAATTATTTCTTTCTACACGTTCCTCTTGCGATTGAGAGTTTCGGATATTTTGACTGACTATTGCATGACGTGTACGTCGACCAAGATTTGACCGTCTAATAGGAGGCATTATCCCAGCAAAAAAACTCTCCTAAAATCAACAAATTCAAAAAAGGACAACTTACGGAATTAATGAGCGAAACCAAATTGAACAATTGTAATTTGTATATGTTTTATTTTTTTCTTCAATATAAAATTACAATAAAAAAGGAGCGTGACAAATTTATCACAGCAAAAGACAAAGTATAATGGAATATATTAAGTTGTGTCATCTAAGCTTCAGCTAACTTCTATTGTCACGATTTTCATAATTATGCGAAATTTGCAATAAACACAACAAAATTTCCATCCTTACATAAACCTTGATTTTGGTTTATGTAATTTTGTTGCGTAAAATTCTAAACTTTTCAGAATATACTGCGATTTCGAAAGTCATTATAGATGCATAATATCAAGTCATACGATAAATAAAAAAATTTGAGTCGTCTTCTAAATATTCCACGATTTTAAGATAGAAGTTTCAGTTTTTTCATTCGAAAAGCCATTGCGGAGCAACTAATAACAAACTAAATAATCTTAATTTAATGGAAAACGTGAGGAAATAATAATCGCGATAAATGTGTGTATCTTACATATTGTTATCGCTTTTCGGTTTCATTTTATTAAATTTTTCTCTATTAAAATAAAAATTTATTGTCAATATATTGTAGAAAATGAAAATTTTTTGAGAATTGACAATTGCCTAAAGAGATTATACGCTTACAATTTTGACCAAAAAGAATTACGAAGTGATGAAATCATAAAACTTCGAAGAAAATGTGTGGAAATGCAAATATCCTTAAACATATATTTTGCAACATTTTCGCGGATTTTACTCAAAATGTTCCTTCTTTAAAACCTTTCCACTTCAATAACACACAACTGAAAGTAATTTTGAGTCGATTCGATCCAGCTTTCCTTGAAAATAATTTTGCGGGATTTTCTTAAAATTTTATTTCATAAAAACCTTCCCACTGCAATTACCGATAATTGAAACCCATTTTCAGTCAAATCGGTCCAGCCGTTCTCAATTGATGCGTTAGTATACATTTTTCTTGCTCCATTTTTATATATATAGATTTATTAATTTTTTTTTATTTTTTATCCGATTTCTTAATAACTTCTAATTGTGACACATACATTTGATTTCTTACTGGACTTTAATGGATGTTGTTCGATAACTTTTTTCAATATTCACCCATGAGAGAACAAATTCTCTTAACAGAAGTTACTGAGTAGTTTTTACTCAGTAAGCTATCGGACAAACCTATTAATTATTAACTTAAATTTCGGAACGTTTTTTTTAATTTAAATTGGCTGCCATTGAATATTTTGGATTCTTATTTATTTTCAATTAATTTATTATTACATGTATTCTAACGAATACTAAGGGAAATTAATGGAGACTCAAGAAAATACACATTTGACCCTCAAAGACTTGGCTATGATCGCCCTAGGAGGCAATGAAATAACCAGAGAACATTTGAGAATATTACATTGCCTATTTGTAATTCTATTGAAAAAATTGAATTGGGAAAATGAAATTGTTCGGATAACAGGATTCGCTGGGCCCTGTTGTAAGCAGATTCTTGAAAGATCAAAATGCGAAGATTCGCTGAAATTCCAAACAAGAAATATTGAAAATTATCAAAAATATTTTGATCTCCTGGAAAAGCTGGAGAATCAAACAAATAACATGGAAGCCAAATTGGAGAAACATTTTGAAGAAATACGAAAACGCTCGGCAACAAATGAATTCAGTGCATATTGTTGGGATTTTTATGCATCGCCAACGGAGGATTTGTGCACTCTTTACAGTGATTATAACAAAGAATTCTGCATCATGGCCCAACATCCAACATTCAATTTGGAAATACGTCGTCGAAGCACACAACCGGTGTTGCAGCGTACTATCGAAATTGAGTCAAAAATCGAAATGATGAGAGATAAACTAAAAAATATTAATGCCAAGGCGGATACGATAATGCCAAAATTAAAACTTGTCGATTTCTTAATTGGTAACCTGGAATCAAAACGTATTGAAATCGAACAACAGTGGCAAAGTACACGCGAAGCGATGCAAGAAACCCAGCAGATGTTAAATTGTAAATTGGATCGCATCGTTTTGCCAACGTTGAAAAAAGATTTAGAAAAACGTTTCGTGATTGTGGATAAACACATTGCCATGTTGAAACAATTGCCGAATAATTGTTCAGCAACAAATGTTATTGGCGATCAGCAACGACATGTGTGTATTTCTTGTGGCCCTCGCAGTGATCGGCAAGTAAAACCAAAACTTAATATAAAATTCCACAACGAGAAGAATTGTAACTGTCAACGGGGTCACAGTGAGCGAACACTTTTGGATAAAATGGATAAAATCAAAGTTAAAACATACAAATTAATTGGTATGTATAACAATGCGGTCATTAGATTTTATATTAATGTTAAAGCATATGGTGTTTGTAAAGTCGTCTTTATTCTACATTTATCATAAATGAGTTAGAAAACCAGTAAGGAAAGTAGTAAAGTCGGACGGGGCCGACTATATGATACCCTTCACCACTATCGGTATATTAAACAGGACTATTAACATGAAATTGGATGAAATAAAATATGTGGTTTTTATCTATATGTGAATCTACCTAGATCTATCCATAAAGTATGTATATCGACGTCAAACAAATATAAATAGGTCATCCGTTGGGCTATGTCTGTACTTCTAGAAAACACAACTACGTAATTCTATGCTCAATTTTTTACGTTGTGCAAAAATTAATGTCAATCTGACTAACATGAGGAGCATGATGCCCTATTTACTTAAAATCAGGCGAAACTATATATCGAAGCTCTATCCAAATATTATGCAATTCAAAAACAAACTTGTCACTGGTTAGGTTATACTAATTTCAGAACGTTTTGTTCCTATTGGTTCCTTGGTGCGTCAATTACTTAAAATCAATCTATAATAAAAGGGAGCTATATTTAAATCTGGACCGATTTTCACGAAACAAGGCAGACATTACTCTAGGCTCAATTTAATACGTTATGCCAAACGTTGGAACACCATTTACATGAAATAGGATGAAAATATATATGGGAGCTGTATCTAAATCTGGACCGATTTTCACGAAACTTGTCAGACATCATTCTAGACTCAATTCAGTACCTTATGCACAAATTTCGTGCAAATCGAAGGACATATATGGGGTCTTGGGTGCACCATTTACATGAAATCGGACGAAACTATATATGGGAGCTATATCTAAATCTGGACCGATTTTCAAGAAGCTTGTCAGACATCATTCTAGACTCAATTCAGTACGTTATGCCAAATTTCGTGCAAATCGAAGGATATATAGGGTCTTGGAGCACCAGTTACATGAAATCGGACGAAACTATATATGGGAGCTATATCTAAATCTGAACCGATTTTCAACAAACTTGGCAGACATCATTCTAGACCTAAATAATTAGGCTGTACCAAATTTGATGTTAATCGAATAATATATAGGGACTTTGGGGCACCATTTACATGAAATCGGACGAAACTATATATGGGAGCTCTATCTAAATCAGGACCGATTTTCATGAAACTTGGCAGACCTCATTCTAGGCCCAATTAAGTAAGTTGTGCCAAATTTCGTGCTAATCGAAAGATATATAGGGACTTTGCGGCACCATTTACATGAAATCGGACGAAACTATATATGGGAGCTATATCTAAATCTGGACCGATATTCTCGAAACTTGGCAGACATCGGACGAAACTATATATGGGAGCATTCTGGACCTAAATGATTAGGCTGTACCAAATTTCGTGCAAATCGAAAGTTATATTGGGACCGTTTACGTTAAATCGCTTAAATGTATATATGGAAGCTATATCTAAATCTGAACCGATTTTTCCCAATTTCAATAGGGTTCGTCCTTGGGCCGAATAAGTGACCTATGCCAAATCTCATCCAATTCGGATCATAAATGCGACCTGTACTTTGTTTACAATTTAACATGGACAGACAGACGGACGGACATGCATAAATCGACTTAGAAAGTGATTCTATGCATATTCTCAAAATGAACTATGTGTCTATCTCGTTTCCTTTTGCCTGTTACAAACATATGCACAAAGACATAATACCCTATACCACAGTGTGGTGAAGGGTATAAAAAGTTAAAAAATTTAAAAACGCTTCAACAGCATCTTCAGGCGACTAAAATCTTCGGCTACACATTTTTCCTTGATCAATGGACTGTATCGTACCTGGATATAATCGATTACCAAATCTGCATTAAATCCCAAAATTGGGTATATAGAACAAATTCTCCTCAGATCTCTGCAAACCAAAATAGTAGACACAAGTCAGGATAATAATAATAATATCGATTTTACAGAAAATGAGTTTTCAATTTATTTACAACTTACAACGTAGAGAGTGAAGGAGATATTCATTGATTTTTTTACACAACGTGAATATTCTGCATAATTAACTCAAACATAACGATTTTTGATTTATACTGATCTTGCAGGAAATGAGCGATATGTCAAATCTGAGGGTATATAAAATTCTATGTCGATTTATATCCGTCTATCTGCACGTCTGTCTGTTGAAATCATGATGCATTGTTATTATCCTAAGATGGTTGCCCCCAAATAACATCATCCCTTAAAAGTCTATATATTTGCGGCTTTTGTCAACGTCTTTCAACCAAGTTGCCTGTAATTTGGTATTTATCGTTTTCACTGGGCAGGAAATGTCCCTATTAAAATTATCAATTATTCGGTATTTGGGGGATAATTGCCACGTTTTTACCCGAATTGACTATAATTTGGTATTTTTATGCACA